ATAACAGTTCACATATCCTGTAGGTATACATACCTTGAAATGCTATCAGCTTTAAACTCAGGACAATATCAAAGTTATGTAAATCATATCTTTATTGAAAAGATAGTAGAATTAATACCAATTCTTAATTTGAATGATCCAGAAGAGAAAAAGAAGTTGAGGCCCAAGGAGAAAGAGACTTTAGAAGCCTCAAAAACTGAACAGAAGATGAACTTACTAGAGGAAAAGCTATGAGCAGTGGAAGGAGTTGGTTTTTATGGTTTAGTGGGTGCAACTGGGCTCTGTTTAGTCTCCGATATGGTTATCCACCCAAAATTTAAGGTTTCAAAGTTTAAAAAGTATGATGGTACAAAATATCCGAAACTCATATTACTAAATACTATCAAAAAATGATTACCCATGCTAGTAATGAAAAACTATTAATGCATGTATTCTAAGATAGCCTTATGGGTTCTATTGCTAGGTGGTATATCTAACTGGATATGACTCACATTCGATCTTGGAGTAATATGGCTTATGACTTAATTAGTCAGTATCGACATATCATAGATTTAGTCTCAAATCACCTTTCTTTATAAAATATGGAAAAGAAAGCAACTGAATCATTTAAAGAGTATGCCTAGAGGTAAAAAGATATTATTTTTCAAGTGCAGCCTCTTCTGACTGAGAAAGAAACTATGTATTATTCGTCAGCATTTTAAAGTCTCCTTATTATGAAAAGATAGTAGGAAATGCAATAAAAAATTTTGCTAATATGATGATTCAGGCAAAATCATTGAGAATGCCATTAAAAATGGCAAGTTGAAAAGAGAAGAACTAATAAAGATAAAAAAAAAAAGAGATCGAAGCTCAAGCTATGAGTTTTAGTAGACAGTTCAGGGGATATCAACCCTATCCATCACAAGGTTAATCCCATACTATCTTGCTGTGAACAATACCTTATCCTACCTACACCAGTTAGCCCCATTGCCATATTATCTATACTAGCCTCCTTTTTCAGCCTTCAAGCTCTTATATATAGCCTTAACATTCAACCACCCACAAGATCTCAGGTTCATCCTGCTAACCCAACAAGTGGTTCACAAGAGCAGTAAATTACTTGAGAAAAGCCCATATTTGATCCAATGTTTATGACTTATACGGAGTTATACTGAGAGCTCTATAACGACCATTTGATTGCCCCCAATTGTGTGAAGCCGTTTAAGTCACCCTATCCCAAGTGGTATGATCCTACAGCTTATTATGACTACCACTATGGAATTACCAGTAATTTCACTAAAAATTGCATTGCTTTAAAGCATAAGGTGCAATGATTGATCAATGATAAAATGATAAACTTTGAACAATGAGGAGTAACAACACCTAATATTAGTGGCAATCTATTGCCTAATCACAATGTCAATGCTTTGAGTGAGAATCAAGAACACGTTGATCTGAAAGGGCTTGGAGAGCTGTAATGAATCATGAGTTAGATATTAAGAAAGATTATTCATTTGATCACATAAGAGCATAAATTTTGGAAAAAAAAAGGCTGATTAGAAGTTGTTTATTATTTTAGGATTTCTTTTAGAGTAATGTTAGGATTTCTTTATACAATAGGATTTCATTTGTCATCATTTTAATAAAAGACAAGTTGATGTATTTCATTACATTTTTTTTCATTCAATTATTGTTCCATGCTTTGTTACCTTTTATAACTTTTCATTCCCATTCTTAAATTAAATGATGAATGTTTAGATGATGATAGCAATAATTTTAGGATTTAATTTTGAGAACTCATTCACATTGATCTGAGGAGACTATTTGAGTAAAAGAAGCCAGCTGCTAGCAGATATGAAATTAATATGTTTTGAAAATGTGCAGTCTTTTGTAAACATTCATAAGCTTATTTTTATTCAATAGATGATATTCAAGAAAAGCATTCACATTTGAGATGAAAAATGGTCATTTTTCTTTTACCCTTTGAAAAACTATTCATTGTTACCCTTTTGAACCTATTATGATTTTTTTTTCTAAGGAACTTCGATCAAGGATCACCCTCCACATTGAAGGTAATTTTTGAAAAAAAAGAGGCAAAAGATCGTAAAAGGTCTCAAAGATAGAAAGTAGAGAAAAAAAGCAACAAGAAAAAAAAAGAATGCCACATATGATTTGGGGTAAAGTAATGAGAGTCTTTTTTATGAGAAATGAGATAGATGAAAAGGAAAAAGTAGTGAAATGATGTGAAATGGGATAAAATACCAAGTTGTTTCAAATGATGATAAATGATCCATTGATTTTAAACCTTTTAAACACATATTTTGAGCCTATTTTACTCATTTTTTTTATGACACTTCACCACGGCCTACATTACAACCTTTAAAAGTCTATTTGGATCAAATGTGAGTGTTAGAATTAAATGATCATATGTTGGGTTAAGGCATGCTCGTGATGGAATGACAGAATCATGCTTCGTTGCTCTAGAGATTGATGTGAAAGAGATATCAATAATAGGTGAAAGAATGAAAGAAAGAAAAAATAAAAAAATGAAAACATGAAAAAAATAAAAAAGATGGAAAAAAGAGAAAAAAAAGACTTAAATTAAAAACTCAAAAGGGCAATTTGGGTAGAAAAATTTTTGAGTTGAAAGTTAAAAAATAGTTCACATAGAGGAAAGGTAAAGATATCTGAAGATCTTTCAAAGCTGAGGCAAAGTTCACTAAGCTCAAAATGACTTTGAAAGTCAATGGAATGAGTTTTTTTTAAAAAAAATCCTGGATTAATGTTCAAAATTGTTTGAATATTCACTGTTTAGATATTATTACTTCATTGGTTTTATTCATCCCAATGACATGCATCCAATTTGTCTCTTTTTCATTTATTTTTGTACCAAACTCGTTCTTTATTGATTATCTTTTTCCTAATTCACCTTATGCTCCCTTATTGTTGCATCCCTATCATGAATAAAAAAAATGTATGATTGCATTGTATTTTTCATGATTTGAAATAATAATGAATGAATGAATATGTGTTTAAAAGATTTTTGTATTTTTTTAAAAAGAAATCCAAGATGATAGGGATAAAAAAATGAAGAGATGGTAGAAACCTAAAAAAAGATAATTTAAGAAGACACATTATGTGTTCAAATGATGAATATGATGATGGATTGGTCAACAAAATGAAGAGATGCCTACAACCTAAAAAGATGGTATGACTAAATGATGGATATAGGGATGAATCGATCGATATAACCTATGATTGGTGACCTAGTGATAGAGGATGAAACTTATTTTGAAATGGTTAGTACTGAGAAACCTATGATTGGTAATCAAGTGACAAACATAATGTGGATCAGAAGACATAATTCATTTTAGAATGGTTAATGCTGAGAAGCCTGTGAATGGTGATCAAGTGATGAACATAATTTGAATCAACTGATAGAATTTATTTTGAGATTACTAATGCTAAAAAGCTTGTGATAAATGATGTAGGGTAATGGATGAAATTTATTTTAAAATTGCTAGTGCTGAAAGGCCTGTGAAATGCGATCAAGTATCAATTAACAAAACTTGTTCTAAATGGTTAGTGCTGAGAAGTTGAAAAAAAAAGAGAGATAGTGGAGTCTTGAGAATTATATTACCATAATTAATTAGAATTTCATGACATGGACATTTGCATTACATTGTATTGTTGAGAATATGTCATTGTGAGAATCTAGATTGTTGCATTTGCGTCATTAAGAAAGCATTTGCATTATTGATCATGACATTCATTACATACAACATTTTGACTTTGGTAAAATTTGAAAGTCATCTAGAAAAGAAATTTTGGATCTTTGGATAAAGTCTTCAAATGAGAATCTTTGAGTTTTCAAATGAGAATCTTTTAATTTTTTAGTTCTCAAATGAAAGTCTTCGAATTTCAAATGAGAATCTTTAAGAATCTTTGAGAATCTTTAAGTTTTTCAAATGAAAATCTTTAAGAAATCCTCAAATAAGAATCTTTGAGTCTCAAATGAGAATCCTTGAGGTGTGAAATCTTAAAATTTGATGAACGTGAATCTTTGAACTCAAATAAGAAGCTTTGAACTTTTAGATGTGAATCTCCAAAATTCAAATGAAATAGCTTAACTTTTTGGATGTGAACCCTAAATTTGTCAAGTGTGAACCTTTGAACTCGAATGAGAAACTTTGAACTTTTGGATGTGAATCTCCAAAATTCAAATGAGAATATTTAAATGTTGGATGTGAGTCTTGCAATTTGCAAACACGAATCTTGAGATCTTGCAATTTGAATTCTTATGAAACTGAAATTTTGATAATCAAATTTCAAAGAATTCTTGCAAAGCTGAAAGGTTCTTACGAATCTGAACTTTTGAATTTCAAACTCAAATTGTGAATCTTTGAGTTTTCATTACAAATTTCATCAGATCAGATCTACGATTCCTTTGGACATGATTATCGATGAGCCTTTTATTTTTCAAAGTTGTTATGCCTCTGTTTAAAGAAGCATTTTAATTTTCAAAAGTTGTGGTACCTATGTTTAGAGGAGTAATTTATTTTTCAAAGTTGTGATGCCTTAGTTTAGAAGAATATTTTATTTTTCAAAGTTATAGTGACTCTAATTAGAGAAGTTCTATTTATTTTTTCCAAAAGTTATGAACTTATGTTTAGAAGAGTCTGTGTCGAGTTGATTGAGTTATCTACGTCTTTGTAAAATTCTTGTTTCACAAAAAATGTGTAAATAGGGGCAACTATAAACACCTCAATCTGTCAGGAGTATACATTTAATTTTTGCTGATATAAAAAAATAAAAAATGAAAACATGAAAAGGCTAGAGAAAAATGAAAAAATAGGAGGGGTTTAAGTGGGATTAAATTAAGAGTTTATGTGGGATTAAAATTAGAGTTAAAACTTAAAAAAGACTAAAATTATTTTTAGTTTAGGGCTATCATATTACACTCTATTAAATGCACGGAACAAAAACACAAGAGAGGAGAGATAAAAAATGAGTCACAAAAAAAAAAGATCCAGAGATCATAAACACATAAGAAAATCAACAGTGAAACAGAGAAATTGGCATAGCTTGTGACATGCAGCAGACCATCATGTAAAATCACCAACTTGTGGGAAAAAGCAAGGAAAGAAGTGCCCTAACTGAAAGTCTAAGAAAGAGAGAAGCAAATGACAAATGGAAAGAAGCAAACCAGAAAAGTAAAAGGATTTGATAAAGCCAACAAATTGATTTTTGAGAGATTCAAAAGCCCACATGCTCACAAGCTCCAATTCCCATTCTTGTGAAAAGCTTTGTTTATTTTCATCAATGACGTAGCAGGAGGTCCAGAACGGAAGAGTTGATAAGGCAGTGGCAGTGGAGTTCATGATGATGAAGCCACAACTGATGGTGGAAGCACCAAAAGCAGTTGATGCAGTGCGATTCTACAAGATCGTATTTGGCATTGTTGATAATGGCTGTACTCTTTACCCTAAGTGCAAAGCTGAGCAGGAGCTCCCTCATATCCTTTCTGTTCAGCTTGAGCTCACTGGCTCTACCATTCTCGTATCTGATATTGGTGATGACTTTACTCCGATGAAAAGTGAAAAAACTGGATGTGTGCTCTACATTGAGACTGAGGACATGGAAGCTGTTATAGCCAAAGTCGTGAGTGCTGGAGCAGTTACAGAGGGTGACAACGCGTGCTGTGATGGATGTGTGGGTAAGGTCAAGGCTCCCTATGGATACGGTTGGCTCATCTACTCTTTTGCCAAGAAATGCACTGACGTTGAAGCTTAGATGTCGTATGATCTTTGATCTATTTTTGTTGAACTTTATGCTTTTAATTTCTGTGTTATGGGTAGGACTCCATATCAGAAAAAGTAAAAGATGTCTCGCCAGTAGGTAATCAATAGCGTTTGGCTCTAGTATTGAACATTTTGATACTGCTAAAAAAATAAAAATATTAATAAAAATTTTGAAATTAAATACAAAATATCCAAGAATGAGATTCTTAAAAATTTTAAATGATAAATTTTTAAGAAATCCCTAGGTGAGAAATTTTATCTAAATTTATCCCAAATGATGGAATAATTTAGATGAAATTTCAATAAACATAATTGTATTCTTTTCCAAATTTTGGTTGAAAATATATGATAATTATCCAATGATGAGATTCTTAAAAATTTCAAATGGTAAATTCCTAAGAAATCTTTAAGTGGAAAATTTCTTTAAATTTGTCCCAAATGGTGGAATAATTTAAATGCAATTTCAATAAAAATAATTATCATATTATTTTCTTTCAAAAAAAATAAAAAGAATTTCTAAATAGGCCCAAATGGTGAAAAATTTAGAAATAAAAAATAAAAAAAATTTCTAAATACGTCCAAATTGTGAAGAATTTAAAAATTCAAAACAAAAAAATATTTATAATTTGGCCCTAATGGTGAAATAATTAGATATATTTTTAACAAAAAAATAAATAATTAAATCTTTTTTCGACGAATGAGCCTCTTCAAGAAATCAAATAGGATCTTTGAATACTTTTAAAGTGAAAAAATATTTTTAAGAGTTCTACCAGATTGATGGAAAAATCTTATAAATTATTTTCAATATTTAACATAAAAATTTGAAATCATTAGACTCAATACCTTAGGATAAATTTAAAATAAAATAGTATCATCTTTTGGATGGGCATGTGGGGGTGCTATAACCTTCCCCACATGTAACCGAACTTCTAAACTCTGTTTTAGTTTATAGATCGAACCTATTTTTTAGAAACCCTTAGTCAAGCTTAGGAGTTCCTTAAAAGGATAGATTCATAAGGTGACCAATCACACCTAATTAAAAAAGATTAGTGGTGACTTCATCCATTTTGTTAAGTCTAGCATAGATTTACAGATCTATATGTTATGACAATGACTTAGTGATGAATTTAGTGATAGATTGACTGACATGATTAGTGAATCATGACCAGATGAAAATATTGATATGGATCAACTAACATAATTTGTTTTAAGACTATTAATACTAAGAAGCTAAAAAGAACTGGTGAAGTCTTGAAAACTTTGTCACCATAATTGAAATTTCATAATATCAGTATTACATACATTGTGTTTATATTTACATCCTAGATTAAACATGCATTTGCAGCGTTACATTATCATTTATTACTTATTTCGATCTCAGCTTAGTCCAGATTAGACATGTATTTGCAACGTTACATTATCATTTATTACTTATTTTGATCTCAGCTTAGTTCAGATTATTTTTTTAACTTACAATTTCATCTCGATCATTCATTTTTTATCTCGACTCGATCCTGGTCATTTTATCTCAACTCGTGGTTTCATCCCAGTCATAGATCTCAGCTCAGTTTAGATCATTTTTTTGACTCGTGATTTTATCCTGATCATTCATCTTCGACCTCGATTCAGTTTTGGTTATTTTATCTCGACTTACAGTTTCATCTCAGTCATTCGATCTCGGCTTAGTCCAGATCATTTTTTTGACTTGTAATTTCATTCTGGTCATTCATATTTGACCTTGAATCAGTCCTGATTGCTTTATCTCGACTCGCAGTTTCGTCCTGATCATTCGATCTCGACTCAGTTCAGATCATTTTTTTGACTCGCGATTTCGTCTCAGTCATTTATCTTCAACCTCGACTCGATCCTAATTGTTTTATCTTGACTCACAGTTTCATCTTGATTATTCAATCTCGACTCAATTTAGATATTTTTTTGACTCGCGATTTCATCCTAATCATTCATCTTCGACCTCGATTCGATCATAGTTGCTTTATCTTGACTCCTGATTTTATCTTGATCATTTGATTTCAACTCAATCTATATTATTTTTTTGACTCACAATTTCATTTCGATCATTCATCTTTGACCTGGACTTGGTCTTGGTCACTTTATCTCAACTCGCGATTTCATCTTGGTTATTCGATCTCAGCTTAGTCCAAATCATTCTTTTAACTTGCGATTTTGTCTCGATTATTCATCTTCGATCTCGACTCAATCTTGGTCACTTTATCTTGACTTATAGTTTCGTTCCAGTCATTTGATCTCAGTTCAGTCTAGATTTTTTTTTTACTCTCGATTTTATCTTGATCATTCATTTTTTACCTCAACTCGATTCTGATCGTTTTATCTCGACTTGCGATTTCATCTTGATCATTTGTTTTTTGGCTTTTTTTTTTTCAAAATGTAAATGAAAAAAAATTTAATAGGAAAACTAAAGAGAAATAGCCCCAAAAAAAAAAAAAAACAAAAATGTTTACAAAAAAACCTAGCTTGCTCTTTTATTTCATAATAAAATATAATGAAAATTTTGTATATAAATCCATATCATAATAAAAACTAAAAAAAAGCATAAAAGTATATACAAATATATGTATAATTTAAACTATAATAGAACTAATATCAAGAGCCAAAACTTAAAAGGAAATCCAAAACATTAAGTATTTGGTTTCAAAAAATAGAATCATTTTCTGTTTCATTTTCTTGAAAAATGAAGCAAATGACTGAAAACATGTTTGGTAATTGAAAATGAAGACAAAAATGAAAATGGGTTGAAATATAAAAATAAAAAATATATGTTTTCAATTGTGAAAACAATGGATATTCATTACTTTTCTTCTTATTTTTTGCAAATTATCATATTTAAATATTTTTTAATATTATTAATTAATTAACATATATTATATTTATTTATAATTATATGCCTTTAATAATAATGTCATTGAATATTTTATTTATTTTCTTATTTTTGCATTTCTAGAAAACAATTTTTATTTTCATTTACCAAATAAAATTTTAGAAAACAAAAAATAGAAAATAAAAATCATTTCTAGAAAATGAAAATAAAAAATAAAAACAAAAATATTTTCTTAAACCCAATAGATAAGATTTTTAAAAAATTTTGCTTAATTTTAAAATTTCTTTTCAAAATAATTTAAAAAAACAAATCATCATACAACTATGATGAAGAACTAATCTAAAAGATCTTAACACACACCAAAAGAGAAAAACCAAAGTACCTAAAATAATATAAAACCAAACATAAAATAATTTGTACGTCTAATCCATCTATATATAATATCATGACAATGAAAAAAATATTGTAGGGTTGTAATTTATATTTTAAACATTCCAAAACACCCTTATTTATAGGATGAATCTTGAAAATAATTATGGGATGGTTTATTACCTTTGAATGTTTAAATGATTAAAATAAATTTAAAAATCAAATCAAGATTAATAATAATATTTTAAATTAAGAATAATTTAAATTTGTTACTGTACCATTACCACCCACCATCACATTCTATCTTCACTATAACAAAAAAAAAAAAAAAAAAACTCCCACAATTAACACACACCAAAAAAAACCTTCCATCATTACATCCATCCAAAAAAAGACAAAAAACTCTCACAATTCGGTCTCATCCCCGTCAAGTGGAATCATACAAACAATAAACACAAAAAAAGTAAAAACAAATCTCCTACAGTTTTGGTTTAGGACATTTAGGGTGTTTTGGACTTTGATTTTTGGAGGAGAGGAATATCTTGAAATGGAGAAAGACTTAGTGAAAGATGGAAGCAATTTTAGCGATAGAAGAAAAGGATTTTTGAGGTGATAACCGTAAATTCGAATTTAGATTTAAATCAAATTTTGAGTTTTCGTAAAAGAAAAAAATTTTTGATTTGAGAAAAAATAAAAGAGATCAAGAGGATTTTTTTGATGATTTTTGAAGATTTTTTACGCCAACGAATGGCAATGTATGACGGCAATTACTATGAAAAAGGAGTGAATTTAGAAAAAAAAAAAAAAGAAAAATATTATTATAGATTTTTTATCTAATTAAAAAAACAATATGAATCCACGCGAAGACACCAAAATCGAATCTCCACACTTAATCTCAAATATCATTTTTTTATTATTATTTTTTAATGATTTTATTTTGAAAAAAAAAAGGTCACCAGCGAAGCGGGTCCAACCTACTATTTATCTCACAAACAATTGGGAACCAATTTTGTTCCGCCACAATAATGAAACAAAGGACAACCGTAATTAAATGATCAAATTTAAGACAAGGTTGTTGAGATATCATATTCAATTGTTATCACGTTTAAAGAACACTTGATTAAGATCATTATATTAATTAAATAGTAATATTTTTGCTTTTTTATTTGAAAAGAAAGTTCAAATTAAACCATTCTTAGAATAAAAAATATGCACAAATCAACATAATCAAATAATCAGATGTAACAATATATATTTTCATCTAATATAATAAAAATTATAACATTTATTAATTTATTAACATTTGTAAAATAAACTCACTGATATTGGTAATTAAAAATTAAAATGAAAGGTAACACTTAATATTATAATTGAGAATAAATCTAAAAATTTAAAATATAATGGGATGATACAATACGAATATACAAATTATGAGCTGTAACATATAATCAAGTTATATATCAAAAGAAAAACATAGCAGAGAGCAACCCAACCATTACGTATCTAAGCAGTTTTGTTGAGGAAGATTTAAGGTTTGCTCCACTACTCTTTTTGGTACGAGGGCGAAGAAGATCTCCACCGCCATAAGATCCTTTCCCTTTTTTGTTTTTATCAACAATCACTTTCTTTTCTTCTTGCACGTCCCTTGAGTAAAGTGCTTCATGCAAACCCTTGAACGTTCTTTCATGGCTCTTAAATACATGACCTGCGTAAAAATTGGGCCATTAACATTAATTCATTCATTAATATTGCAGCAAATTAAAACTTACTTTTGACTTGTTTCTCCTTCATCAATGGTTTGAGATCATGGCCGCTAGCAGCTTCTGATGATGAGATGAAAGCACTTTCACATAAGGAGCATAAGAAAGCAAAGTTACAACAAATGATGATGAAGAAGAAGAGCCATTCAACAACTCTTCTCTTCATTTTAGTAGGCTACCTTTTGAATTTAGCACTTAGAATTGTTACTTTCTTTAGCTTTGATACTGATTATTTATAATGAATCATTAAAGGAAAATAAAATATCATTTTTTGAGCAAACAAAAGAAGAAAAAAAGAAAAGATTAAGCTTGATAATGTTTCATTAAGTCATCAGGGGATAACGATACCCAAAGCAACTTTAAAATTCTCAAGCATGTGATAGGGTAATTGTTCCAAAGGAATCCCAAGGCAATTAGCTAGCATATTTTTTACTTTAAATCTTAGTTTTCTCATCCTTTTTCTTTCTTTTTTCGTTAAGAAAAAAGCTAAATAGAAAGAATATGCCTAATTGGGCGGTGGGTTTCTGTCATGTCTTTTGATGAATGCCAGCGGGAAAAGTAAAAGAATGAAGGGAAATTTTTTTTTTTTTCCATTTCAAAGAATCTAACAGTCCACTTTTAAGGGGATTGTTTATTCAGTCATTTTCGTAAATTAAAGAAAAATCAAAGGGAACCAGGTGCCCTATCTAATTTCTTTGATTACTCAGCAAAAGTGTTTTCTTTTATTATTCTAGCTAGAAAATATTATTATTATTCTATATTCTTTATAGTTTGTCCAACTCATATATAAAATGTTACTAATCTTTCATATTAGCAGTTAATAAATTTTACATTATTCAATGATTGGTGAACAAAAACAAAAAAAAAAATTTAAATCTATCATTTTTCAAATCAAAAAAATATTTAATTCGTGTATTTTTTACCAAAAACACTTAAATCATATAAGTGTAAATGGATTTGTCTAAAAGGTAATCATAGCTCAAATTTTTTAGTCAAAGTTTCAATATATATAAAAAAAAAGTTACAAACAATAAATTTGAATTTCAAATTTATTATATATTATTATTTAAAAATAATTAATTTCATAAATCAATTGAATTAAAACTTAAATTTATAATAACTTTGTTTTAAAAACAAAGTTAATTAACATAACTCAAATCATAGAGTTAGCAGAGGCAGTCTATTCTACAACCAAATATTATTTAATTTTGAGAATTTGATCACTGTTTCTATTTCGATCTAAAACTAATAATAATACACGTCCTGATTAATACATGACCCATTTATAAAGTTTTTCTATATTTTTGGAAGGCATGTTTTAAGTTAACAGTCCATGAAACCCTAACTAATTCGTACAGTTGGGAAAACATAAAGCCCATTATTTCTTGATTAATTAATTTCTTAATTGTAAGAGAATTTAAGGTTACATGCATGTGATAATATTGCCTTAACTGGGATCAGTCTTTCATCTGTGATAGACAACATTAATTGTTAATTATTTGAATTTTACCAAGAGCATTTTAAGGGTATTTTTTAAGATTAATATATTATGCCATAACGTCTAGATCCGAGGATCTATCGCTAGACATTGACTTAAGGGAGTCACCACCAATCTTTTTTATCTAGGTGCGATTGACCACCTAAAGAATCTGTCCTTTCAGGGAACACCTAAGCTTAAGGGTCCCTAAAAGAATAGGTTCAGGTCTACTAACCAGAACAAAGTTCGGGAGTTCGGTTACGTGTGAGGAAGGTTATAGCACCCTCATAACGCCCATCAAAAGATGGTACCAGCTTAAATTTGTGTTATCCAAAAGCCTTAAAATTTTATCAAGTAATTAATTATTGAAAATTATTCTCAATTGACTCTAATACTTTTAGCAGAAAATTGAGAAAATTCCCTCACCTCAGAAGTATGCAAGAAAAACTACTGTTTCACTTGCAGAGGCTCCGTCGTCGGATTAATTAAAGAAAAATCAAAATCAAAATAGAAAGGAAGGAAACGATGATTGTTCTTGTGTAGGAAAAATTGATACTTTCAATTTTTCCCCAAAAATTATTTTTCTGAAATTTATTTTTTAAGGAAAATTGATACTTTCAACTTTTCCCCAAAAATATTTTTTTTGAAATTTATTTCTAAGGAAATTTATTTCTAAGGAAAATTGATACTTTCAACTTTTTCTCAAAAATATTTTTTTTTGAAACTTTGATTTCCAAGGAAAATTGATACTTTTAACTTTTTCCTAAAAATATTTTTTGAAAATTTATTTCTAACGAAAATTGATACTTTCAACTTTTCCTCAAAAATATATTTTTTTTGAAACTTTGATTTTCAAAGAAAATTGATACTTTCAACTTTTCCTCAAAAATCTTTTTTTTTTGAAAATTTATTTTTAAGGAAAATTGATACTTTCAACTTTTCTCCAAAAATATTTTTTGGAAATTTATTTCTAAGAAAAATTGATACTTTCAACTTTTCCTCAAAAATCCTTTTTTTTGAAAATTTATTTTTAAGGAAAATTGATACTTTCAACTTTTTCCCAAAAATATTTTTTGGAAATTTATTTCTAAGGAAAATTGATACTTTCAACTTTTTCTCAAAAATATTTTTTTTTATTTAAAGAATATAAAACAAAATAAAAGTAAAAATAAATAAAGAAGAAAAAAAAATAAAGAAAAGTAAAACAAAAATAAAATAGATAAAGATAAAAAAATATTAATAAATCTAATCTAATAAATAAAAAATAGAAAAACAAATAAACAAATAAATGAAAAAAAAAAAACCTGGAGCAGCTCGGATCGCAGCTCGGCTCGGCTCGGCTCAAGGAAGAGAAAACGGCTCGAGGGGCGGCTTGGGAAGCTCGGCTCGGCTCGGCTCGGCTTGGCTCGGAGGGGGGGCAGGCACGCGTAGGTCAGAAGCGGGTCGGGTCGGGTTTCGGTAAAACGCGCGGATCCTCTGGTTACTTAAGGCCAAAACGACGTCGTTTTAAGCGGGTATAAAAGGCACTTCCCTCTGTTTTTCGACAGAACTCTTTTCCTCTCTCTCTCTCTCTTCTTCCTTTTTCCTCTCCTTTCTCTCTAAAAACTGAAGAACACCGGTGGAATTTTCGTCGGATTCTGAAAAAAGTCACCGGAATCTGGAAATTTTTATCGGAAGTTGGCCGGAAGATCATCGGTTTATGGGATTCTTCGCCGAAAACTGGGTTGGTCGTCGGAAACTTCAAGTTGGCCGAAATTTTCGTCGAAAAATTCGAACTTCACCGGAATTTTCATCGGAATCTAAAAATTTCCCAGAAATTTCCAGAAAAATTTTTCGTCAAAAATTTCTAAAAAATTATTTCCGATCCCTACAGCTATCCTAACTCTTCTCAACCTTCTTTAGTCTTCGAAAACTCTTCTATACACCTCTTTTCTCTCAAATTCAGTAGCTTTGCTCACTGTTCTCTTTTGTGTTTCTCATCTGTTCCAGGAGGGTGCCTTTTATAGGGGTTGATCAGGAGTTCCTGATCAATCCCAATTTTTCCTTGGACGGGGATTCAATCTTTGAATCCAATTGGACTCTTTTGATTGAATCCCCACTCCTAATAGGATTCTTCAACATTTAATCTTAGCCATCAAAAAAAAAAAGAAAAAATAATAATAATACTATCAGATAATCAAACAAAATCAGATGGATGAATAAAATAAAATTAACAGATAATTAAAATATAAAATAAGATAAATCCAAAAATATTTACCAGAAAAAAAAATGATAATGATAATAATAATATAATAATAATGATAACATAATAATAACAAATATAACTATATAAATAAAATACATATAAATATTAACAAAAATAAATAAATAAATATATATATTAATACACAATAATAATAATAATAAATAATAAAATACATAAAATACAAAAAAAAATAATAAAAATAATATCAGATAGAAATTGAATTGGGCTTACCCAATTGGGTCAGGCCCAATTGATCTGAGTCTGGACCCAATTGAGTGTCTACATATTAGATAATGTATTTTTAGTGATTTAAAATTCATCTAATTAACTATCAATTATTGACTTTAATATAAAAACATTACTATAAATAAGTAATCGGGTTTTGCTATGGAGTGTCAATTTTTAAAGATGGTTAATATACTATTTATAATAATATTTTTGTACTAAATGGAATAGCTAATAATTTTATACATAATTTTCAATAATTGAAATGAAGATATTAATTCATAATAGTAACCTTAAAGAATACCTTTGAAACATTGGTTAACAAAATTCATAATAATTTAACTAACTTTAAAGATTAGCCTAAGAGGAATGAGCAAAATCCTAATTATATTTTAGCTGCCATCACATTTATATGGTTTAACAGTTGATTTGAAACAAGTAAAAGAACATCATGAAAAGAACATAAATTAAGGGGAATATCTTTTTGACTATACATTTCGAATTTAAAACTTCTTCTTTAGAAAGAGAGTCGTGATGGTATGCACTACTCAGTCCATTTCCGACTATCCTCTTGTTTGATCAATTATGGTAATTGGATATGCATGCATGGGCATTGGCCACATAATTTGAGGTGGGAGTAATTAGGAGTTCACTAGCTCAAACAAAACTTCTTCCTTTCGATAATAACTTCTACCATTAAACTCTGAAATTTTTTCATCAATATTTCCATAATTAAATCTTATACTTACCAAACATTACCATTGCATTTAATTTTCCTTCATCTAATTACCAACCATACCAGAAATTAATATTTGGTTATCTTGAGTTAGTGGCAGAATATATTTACCTGATCAGCAAAGAATGGGCCATTTCAGAAGAACTTTTAAATGTGCCACTCATCATTATCCTTTATGATTCTTGCCGAATTTTCTACTCATCCAATATCTTTTATCCAAGGTGGGAACGACGAAGATCAATTCCCTGCGAGTGTGCTCTTTGCTGCAGTGAGTGATAGGTTATGGGATATATAGTGGAACATCATGTGGTCGGATGTACAGGATAAGAGGCATATCAGAGGCCAAAATAGAGCAATAAAGGTTAGATAAATCCATTGTTGGGCAGGTTGTTGATCTTTGCTTGCAGGATCCTTGCCACACTTCGTTGCAGCTGTCAAACAAAGCCTTCGATCGATTCCATCTCCAAGATTGATGTGCGTGGTAATGATCCTTCAAATTTGTTAATCAGGCATCAAATTATAACGCATGATAAGTTAATCTTTTTGTTTTGCTGCAGGATTTGAAGTAATTACGTGTATAGTTTGAAGATCAGCAATATCTACCTATGGATTCCTTGCAGCCATTAACACAAAAAGGCCAAGCTATTTTTCTCTATTATTTTGTATTTTAGATAGCCATTGCTAAGATTGATAAGAACAGGCATAATAATAAAAAAACCCATAAATTAAAATTAAACAATGATCCAAGTTTTTATTATTTTATTATAATAAATTAAATTTTTAAATATCTCTTTTTATTAATTTAATTTTTATTAAATTACAATTAATTAATTGTCAGCAGTAATTTTCGTCAAATTGAAGATTAAATCAAGTGAAGGTAAATATTTAAAAAATTAATAAAATAAAAATAAATATTTAAGGATTTAATTAATTATAATAATGATAATAAGATTTTTGAATAATTATTTAATTTTTAACTAAAGGCTTTTTTTAAGTTGAACATACCAATAATATCAGCACCCCCTACAAATAGCCTGATTGTCCAAACCCTTCAAAAGAATAGCAGAAAGAGATAGCTTTCACTAATTGTTCTGGTTTCTCTAGTTGCAGCCACGTCGGATCAAAAAGCAATACTGACGTGGACTGGCAGTCCACTGTTGGATTAAAGGGAAATCGGGTTTTCCTTTTCTTCATTGTTTCTCTTTGCTATTTTTGAGAAAGATACAATTTTAGAACCTAAGAATTGTACTACTGCTATATACTAAACTAAAGATTCATTGTAATGCATTGAATTATTGATGATTATTGATGCAATGAATTTGCATCCAACATCTCCACATGCAATCTTCAACCCCAAAAACGAGGTTTTTAGTCCTTCTCCGTACAATCACAACATCAGCCACCGGCCGCAGCTACCAAAGAGCTGCGGCGGAACACGGCTTCCTTTTTCTCCTCCACTCTTGTAACACCTTCTCAAACCTCCTCCAAATCCAAACCCAAATTCTCAAATTGGGTTTCCAAAACAACCCTTTAATTCTCACCAAATTTGCATCCAAATCTTCTGACCTCAACTCCATTGACTACGCTCATTGCTTCCTCTTTTCACCCCACTCAAACACCCATTTCTATGATGCTTTCCTTTTCAACACTATTATCAAGGCTTATGCTCAAACTGGGAACTTAAAGGCCAAAGCATTATGGGTTTTGAATTTCATGCTTGAATCTGAAGTTTTGCCTAATAATTTCACGTACCCATTTGTTTTAAAGGCCTGTGCTGGCATCGGGGACTTGAATTTAGGCATGTGCGTTCATGGGTCGTTGTTGAAATTTGGTTTTGATGGGAATAATCATGTTTTAAACACATTAGTTCACATGTATTGTAGTTGCAAAGGAGGGATTGAGTTCGGTCGGAAAGTGTTTGATGAAATGACGAAAGAGGACTCTGTCCCATGGAGCGCTATGATTGGTGGGTATGTTCGTTTGAGGTGGTCAGAGGATGCCGTTGACTTGTTTAGGCAGATGCAGATAGAAGGCGTTTGCCCTGATGAGATTACAATGGTTGCTGTGTTGTGTGCATGTACTGATTTAGGTGCACTGGAACTTGGGAGGTGGGTTGAGTCTCTTATTGAGAAGAATAGAGTGAATAAATCTGTGGAGCTCAATAATGCGCTTATTGATATGTTTGCCAAGTGTGGTGATGTTGATAAAGCTATGAAATTGTTTAGGACCATGAATGAGAGAAGTATTGTTTCTTGGACTTCAGTCATTGTTGGTTTAGCGATGCATGGGCGTGGATTGCAGGCTGTTTCTTTGTTTCATGAGATGCTAAGGGATGGAGTGATGCCAGATGATGTTGTTTTTATTGGATTGCTCTCTGCGTGTAGTCATTCTGGATTAGTCGAGAAGGGAAAGGAATATTTTGATTTGATGAGGAAGGAATTTGGTATTTTGCCTAAAATTGAACATTACGGATGCATGGTAGATCTGTTATGTAGGGCTGGACTTGTTAGAAAGGCAGTGGAGTTTGTTCAACAAATGCCTATTGAGCCAAACTCTATTGTTTGGCGAACCCTGATAAATGCTTGCCGTACACATGGTGAACTGAAGCTGGGAGAGAGCATTGCCAGACAAGTAATTGAAAATGAGCCTATGCTTGAGGCCAATTATGTCCTACTTTCCAATATTTATGCAAAGCTGTTTCATTGGGAGAAGAAAACCAAGATTAGGGAGGTGATGGACAAAAAGGGGATGAGAAAGATCCCAGGGAGCACCATGATTGAGATAAATAAAAAAATTTATAAATTTGTTGCTGGAGATGTGTCACATAATCAGTACAAGGAAATATTTCAGATGGTGGATGAGATGGGAAGAGAAATGAAGAGGGTTGGGTATGTTCCTTCTACCTCAGAGGTTATGCTTGATATTGATGAAGAAGACAAGGAAGATAATTTGAATAGGCATAGTGAAAAGCTGGCCATTGCTTTTGCTCTTATAAATACACCAGCAGGGACTCCTATCAGGATTGTGAAAAATCTGCGAGTTTGTAATGATTGTCATTCTGCCTCTAAGCTTATATCTAAGATATATAATCGAGAAATTATAGCGAGGGATCGGAATCGCTTTCACCATTTCAAGGATGGTTTATGCTCATGTAAGGACTTCTGGTAACAAAGTAATTACAGTCTTTTGTCGGTTGGCTAGTTGGAATCTTGAGAATTATAGAGCAATTGATCATTTTCTGTATCCTTTGTCATAAATCAAGAGAAATGAGCGTTGCGGAAGTTGGATACAGGGACAAACTTTTGAGCACAAATAGGATGAACATGTATGTCTTGTTCATCAAAGTATGATCTACCCAGATGGTCCAAAATAACATGTGTCTAACCTCTTGAGAGAATATCACTTAGAAGTATTTGCTGTATGCAATTTGAAAGTGGTTTACTTCACCAACAGTCTTCATGTAAAGAAACTTTTATGCTTCCTCTTGATTTATTACTGGATCTCCATCTTCAAGAACTATTTTTTGGTATGGATTATAGAAGACTACAGTTAGCCCAAAGCCTTGATTTAAAGTGGGGTCAACAACTAACCAAAAAAAGGAAAGGAGAGCCAGCAAGTAGAAGTAACATAAAAAAAAGGATGGGGGAGTCGGCTGCTTGTTCATAGGGTTGAATTTTACTGTGATTCTATGTAGTCTCGAGAAACGAATAAATCTGAAACCGCCATGTGATTCTATGTGCATGGATTTTGTTATTGGAGCTCATAATTCATGTAGAATTCTCACCCAATAAATCTGAATGATTTTCAAATTGCAACGAGTGACTTTATGAAATGTGTGAGCGTGCATTTAAGTACTTACCTGTTGTGTTCATACGTATTGTGGGGATAATCCTGGCCCGCCCCAGGTAGAGTGTCATGGGTAGCGCGTTCTTTATATCGAAATTATGCGTCTGTGTGGCATCAAAATTACTTTTAGTCGAGATTAACCTTTTTCAAATCTATTTCTTAGTTAGAATCAGAATTTTTCCTCTAATGTAATGGGATAGAAATATATTAAAAGCAATTAGATTGTTGTATTAAGAATCATAACTAACCCATTAGTGCAATAGGACAAAACCAAAAATCACAGTAACATATTTAGTGCAATAGATAAAAGTATATTATTGACGGTGAATAAAAATTATTATTTTCAACCGATGATACGGTTTGAAATTGATATCGATATAACGAAATACATGTCAATATGATCAAAATTAACCTCAATTGACATGGTCAGAATATAATCATAATAAAAAATAAAAATCAAAATATATTTTCAAACTACTTAATATATACAAATTCAATATTTTATAACTTTCTCAAAATAAAATCTATAGAAAACAAATTTCATAATCATTCCGAAGCAAAATTTCATATTACGACAAATGATGGATATAATATTATTACGAAATCATTTTCAAAAAGCAAAACTATATCAAATCATATTCCAAACTCATAATAAATAAATCATATATATATATATTTTGCATCTTTAACTCGATTTACAAAACAAATGAAAAAAACAATATATATTATATATTTAAACTCTAAACATGTTGAGGTTGATTTTAAAGGACATAAAAACCAATGGGATATCAAGTCACTTAGCTAATGCGCTAAACTGAAATTTAATCAACAAATCACTTAATTCTCTTAGAATCCTAATAATTCAAAAAATATTCAAAAAAAAAATTAATCCAAAAACATACACTTAATAAGGCAAACCTTCCGCAAGTCATCCTAAACAAATTGAGTTGTGCGGCAACCTTTTCGATAATTCAAAATTATTTTTTTTAGCATATAAAATATTTTCTTTTAATATAAGAAAATGTCTAAAATTGAGTATAAATATGAAATTAAAGATTATAATATAAAAATCAGTAGAAATATAAATTTTGACAAATATTTAATTTTTAACATTTTATAGTAATTTTTTTGTAAATTTGAATATAATTTAACGGTCTTTTAATAATACTAATAACATAAAATTAACACAATAAAAATATATTAAAATAAATAAAAATTCATTAAAATAATATAACTGAAATGCAAATAATTTATAACTAAATACATGAAATATTGATTGGAAATAATTTTTAAAATAATTAAAAACAAAATTTTCTATATTAAAATTTTTGCATTTCATGATCACCTGATTTAATTTGAGTCACAATCTCTAATATCTTACAGTTTCTAGTAACAAAGGAAAACAATAATTTAAAGTAGGAATATAACACTACAACTTAGAATTTCGTTTCATAAAAGATGATTTTCATAAGCCTAAGTTTCAAAAGTCAAAACTTTACAAATTATCACAAACAACCTAAATTTCTAGGTTTCAGATTCACGAAGCTTAGTTTGAGATTTTGATTCTCTTAGCTTATAAATCATCTGAACAAATCAATTATGCCACTAGAAAGTTCACATTTCATACTATCAAAAGCACCTAAATTTTGACCAAATTGACTACTAGAGTAGGGAGTTTCGAAGACTCAAAGTTGAGTTTTGGTAACTGTTAAAAATCCAAAAATTTGAAACTTTAAATACTAAATTCTCCTAAATTATTCAAGTAAATAAAGTATCACAGATACCATTAGAAAGATCAAGATCTTTCCATTGGTAGACACAATTTTGCCATATTGTTATTGAAAAGGCGCCAAACTATTTTTGAAAATGAAAAGATTAAAAAATATAGGTTGAGGTTTGGAAAAAATCACATAAAACATAAAAATTTTAAGAATTTTAAGTAAACTATTACCTTAATCAAATTTTTTTAGAATTGATTTGCCCTTCCTCTTGCTCTATTCTTCTTCTCGAGGTTTTTTTTTCAAATTTTCCTTTTGTTTTTCTTTTTTTTGTTTGAAAAAATTATTGGCAAAAACTGTGATAAGTTTTCTTTTATTTTCTTATCTTTAAAATTTTTTTTATTAATGATACTCATGAGCTGGGTCACTGATCAAGCTATAGTCACTTGACTTTGGATATTACAATTTGTGAATACTGCCCGCTATCAATGAGCAAATACTAATGTTGTCTGACATCAGTATCTTAACAACATTTCAAGTCTCTGTGATAAGTATCTATTTGGCTTGTTCATAATAAACTTCATTATTAACCAGGACAATGATGAGATATTCAGCTGTATTTTTTTTCTTTGTTACTGTATAATCTACCCATACCACGACTGAAAATGATCCTAAAAATATCTTCCAATAGTTTCTATATTTGGAGTATTCTTATGTCTTACTGTATTTGACTCGGACAAAAACAATCATTGCGATTGATGTAGGAAATGTATGAATATATTGTTTATGCAAAAAGTTTGTAATTAATTTCTAGTTGTTTCAGTCCAAATTTCTTTAAGAAATTTTGGTGATCTTTTACGCCTCGCATTACCAGTGCTTGTGCTTTCTCCTGTCTGAAGTTTAAAAGTACCAAATGTATTCTTACCGTTGCTTTGGTCCTTGAGCATCTGTCGGTTTGTCTCAGAATTACTGTCCATGCAAACTGATTCCAAAACTTCCATATCATATCAGTGATTCAGTGATCAATTGAGAATTATCTTGAGTATATATCTGTTTTTCTTGTTCATTCAGTTAACATATATGCAGCAGAGCAAGAATTATTTACCTAACAGGATGGCAAGGTTTTAAATAGCATCCGTAACGCAGTATAATGACTGTTATTTGACGGTAGCGTCGCCTACCGCTTCCGTTATTCACCCGCGATGGAGGTGTGATTGACAATCACACTTACAACAGTTGTTTGTGGTCGCAAATAGCAGCATAACTGAAAAAAAAAAAATTGTTGTAACGAGACGTTAAAGCCATTATTTATGTTTTTCTTTCATCAAATAAAATGAAAACATATTCTAAAATGGTAAGAAAATCATACCCCAAATCTAAACTATTTAGTAAAATTTAAGTCTCAATTAAAATAATCAAAATAGAGATAATATAAAGATAAAGCTTCAGTAAGGGAATCAACCTTCAAATCGCCAAACACATTTTATCAACCTATGGGATTTTTTGGTTCAGCAACTTTAAAACTATGCTATCTCATAAAGCAATTGCAAATAGCTCATAAATCAATCTAATGAAAGAGAGAAAGTTGAAATTGCTTGAGGAAAAGACAAGAGGGAGGTTGGATAGAGTCGTGAGTAAGGACGGCAATCAAACCCGTCCCCAATGGATTTCGGCTCGACCCGACCTTATGAGATCGATTTTTTTTTATTTTGAAATTCGGGTTTCGAGTTAGGTAAAGTTAAGGAATAATCGAAATCAGTTCGGGTTTGAGGCAAACCGAACCGACCCAACCCGACATTATATAAAAAATTATTTTAATTAATTATTTAATTTTTTATTTATAAATATTTATATAATGATATTTTTAAATATTATATTTAAAAAATAATATTTTATATTTTAAAAAATAATATTTTATTAATTTCAGGTCTGATCAGGTACGATTTACATAGTATCGAGTCGGATCGAATTCAATTTAATAAATCATAAAATCGGATCGGATTCGGACGGATCGACCCGATGCCAACCCTAGTCGTGAGATAACTCTGTTTTGGAATGAAAAAGCAAAGTGAATAGAAAGAGAAAAAGAAAAAAAAAAAAAGAAGTCGATGTCAGATATAAATTTATTTTTATTTTTTATTCTGATCATTTTTTTATTTTACATTTTGGGAAATGGGTATTTGAAATTTTTTTTGTGATGTGGATAAAAATTTAATAGAGTTGTTAATTGTTAAATAATGAATTTAATTTTTAATTATCTAAAAATAATTTTCTAACAAAAATTTTAATATTATTAAGTATATTTATTATTAATTATTGTATACCTAATATTTTTAGATAAAAAGTTTTAGAACAAAAGTAAATTATAGGGAAATAAATTTTTAAGAATGTTTTGAAGATTTTAAATTTTAGATGAAAATTTTGAAAAAAAAAATGAGAGATGATATGTACAAGTATTTTTACATGAATCTATACCACATAAATATATTTTAATCTATTTACCTTAATAATTGTATTTAAAAATATTTAAATATTCATTATTATTCTTTTTAATTAGTTTAATTTATAATATTAATTTCATAATGATAATTTATCATCAATTATATGCATTTATAGCATTTATATTAACAAAATTCATAAATATATTAATGATAAATATTTTTTATATGTACATTAATTTATGACTCAAAACTAAAAAATATAAAATATTTATTTTAATATATAATTAAATAATTATAAATTACTTTAAATATACCACATAAATATATTTTAATCTATTTACCTTAATAATTGTATTTAAAAATATTTAAATATTTATTATTATTCTTTTTAATTAATTTAATTTATAATATTAATTTCATAATGATAATTTATCATTAATTATATGCATTTATAGCATTTATATCAACAAAATTCATGAATATATTAATGATAAATATTTTTTATATGTATATGGATTTATGACTCAAAACTAAAAAATATAAAATATTTATTTTAATATATAATTAAATAATTAAATTATTATAAATTACTTTAAATATAATAAGCATGTTTTTTATGATTAATTGTTTAAAATTAAAAAAATTTACCATGAATGCGATTATTACGGTGATCGATTTAAATCTCTTCTAAATGGATTAAACAAGACACGTGGATATTGGTGATCATGACGTCACCAGATTCAAAACGATTTCTTGCCGGCCCTTGACGTGAATTTTCACCACCAAATCTTCCTTTTCCCCCATGTATTGCCTCTTTTGACCTTTCTGAATGATTAGTCCGACTGTCCGAGAATTATTGTGTCTTGGACTGTTTTGACAGCATCAGACTACTTATGGGAGAGAAAATAAACTGAACCACCATTTGCGCAATGATAGTTTCCTTGTTGACAGGTTTACAGCATAGAATACAGTCAACTTTTTCATTTGTCTGCATTAAATTTAGCACTACT